ACACCGCAGCATCGATTTGAGCTTGACGAACAAGATGAAACGGTACTTTGTTTGTTATGATGGAACTACCATTGCTCGCATCAATGTACTGAACCGTTACATGCCCTAGAGAAGAGAAAAAGAATAGTATTGTTTCTTGAAATTTCGCATGAACACAATTCTTTTTCAAGAAGATTATTCGAAACATGGCTTTGAACATATTTTATATCATACCGATCACGTGTTGTTCACTTTCACTTTGAGATGAGTTCGTCTCTCGCGGGCTAGGTAAGATGTTCTCCCTTGTCAACCTCACTTTGGATACGTGCATTTGAAAAACAAGATTGCGCTTTTCGTCAGCATTGAGATCGTTAAGTTTGAATGTGATCGAACGAGACGGCAGCTGGGCGGGTTCGTACTTATACGCTGAATGAGCATGAGTAACTGAGTAGCCATCTTGAAATTCAATTTTGACACGTATCTGCTGAGCCACACACGTAAACAACCCAGCAAGTGCAGTCGCAAATGCTGGACCGATTGCGTGAGTCTCGTCCTAGAGATAATGTATTAAGCACAATCATATATACTGTTCCTCCGAAGAACGTTATGTTGTCTCGGCAGAAATGTTTTCCTATTTTTAAAAAGTGAAAAGACTCACAATGTAGGTGAAGGTGCCAGCATTGCCCTGCTCGGCAATCTGCACCAGTAATGCTGCGGTGTGATCAGGACCATAACCAAATGTGTGACACGATATGCCTTGTGGCAGAGTTGCCATGAGACTTGAATAGTCTTGTGGATTGTTGTCTTGGCCATCGGTAAGCAGAAGTATAGCTCCAAGAGGATTCTGTGATCGTCGACTAGTCAATAAATTAATTCCCATCGCTAGGCCACTTCCAATAAATGTTCCACCCGCATCATTGAGTTCGTCGTTAATGGTTCTCTTGAGTATTTTCTGCCTAGATACAAATATACACAGATCGTCTCGTTCGAGGTCAATACAACATTGGCTTCGCTAAAATCCTGTACACAGTATTTATTTTCTGTACAGAACGGTTTTTGTGCAGTCGCCGCTCTCTAACTTGAAGGAAAAAGAGGACAAGTTATTGTGAACTTTTTTATTTCGGTCTTAAGAGTTTTTCAATGCTCATAACTCGATTTTTTCCACTTCAAATGAAACAATTAAATCTGACAAACTAATCAAAACTTTGACATGTGTGTAGAAAATCGCATAAAAATGTAAGCATGTTGCCCTTCATTGCCAGACTTTTTTGTTGCGACTAAAATACAAAATTTGTTTTCAAAAGCCTAGTACTGGTATAACTTTGTTTTCAAAACTTTTAGTCAAGGTAGAAGAAAAAAGCTTACTTTTCTCGAGTCATCAGCTTAAGTCCATGTGACCTATCAAATGCTTGATCGTCAAATGAAACAACAGCCATTCGATCTAAAGGTGTTAATTGATCAATGATATAGGCAAGTGTCTGCTTCAGCAATTCTATTTTCTCGCCTGCCATCGAACCACTTTGGTCAACAACACATACAAGATCGATAGGCACACGCATTAGCTGTTGCTCATTGTTTCCAGTAATGGTAGTAAGTGATGGAGCATTGAGTGTCACCAAACCGTAGATATTAGACTCTTGGTCAGAGGGTACACCGCCGAATTCAAGTGTCGTAGTGGCAGTAATGAGTGTGCGCTGGGTGTCATTCAAAGCGGCTTTACGAGCAGCGGTAACGCGAGCTGAGAGAGCTTGAACAGCTGTCTCGTCAACAAGGTCTTCGTTGAAGCAAGATTCCTATTAATAAAGCAACATTTAGTTGAAGTATTTGTTCAATCCCATAAAAAAAGAAATTGGGCATCCTCTCTAATTTACCCGGAAAATGACATGAGGGACAGAGCAGAATGCCCAGTGACATCCATTGCACATGAACATAACAACAACTATATAGACAAGTCGTACGATAGTGAACAGGGGAAAATCTCGCACATCTACTCTGAATAGAAAATGAGTCATTCCACAATGCAGCCACCAAACTACATGAAGGCTACTCATTCGATGATCTCCGATTTGTTTGATTTTCGCATTCACTCAGCAAATTCCAAAGTGGGATACGTACAGATTGAAAATCAATCTGAAAGAATGATCAAAAACTCCTGTTAAAAAATGTCTTACGGTGTCAGATATCAGACATACGTGCTAGAGTCACCCATAGAAGAAAAGGATAAAAAAAGAACGGATAAAATGCGTCGTTGAATAAAAAAATTTGTCAATACGATCCCTAAAGGGGCTAAAATGTGAAACTCACAAACTCCGACTGCTATAATTTTAAAGAATACTTTAATAGACGTTAAAATAATTTATTTTATAAAAACTCAACATAATTAAATAAATCAAGACTATAATAGTTTTTATAGTTGATAAGCGTGCTATTGTAACAAGTTATTTCATCTATTTAACATCATTATACTGTAAACCCCTTCTTATCGTGAAAAATAAAAATAATTTAATTTGAAGACATATTAAATTTATTACCCAATGATCCTATTATGATTTTTTAAAACATAAATTTTATTGATTTAAATCTAAGAATGTATTCAAAACTATATCGTCAACGCTTAATTTATTTTCTTCTTATGATAATTTATACGAAGCATGCTAAAAACGTGCTACGAAGGCGTTTTTTTTCATGGGCAATTACAATATCGAGCAGAAAATAGTTAAATTGTCTTCCGTGAAAAAAATGGAACATGAGTTTATGTCTTAATAGCAAGAGCACGTTTCTTTCATATTGCAATTGGCAGCACGCACTCTTCAATTATTTTCTAGGAAAGAATTCACTCGATCCCAGTTCATACAACATAAAAGAACACCGTTTTTGAACAATGAAACAGAATGACTTTTTTCACTGCTAGTAAAAAACAGGCAATCATTTAGGAAACGCTTAACTTTTTTCTTCCTGTTAAGACTGCTCTCATTCGAGCACGTTGATAGTTTCTACTATTCACTAAATTTTTTTTATATCGGTCTCCCATTATGAAAATAATAATTTAGCAATATGTTTTGAATAATAAATTCAAAAGCACTTTCAACTTTGCCCTGAAAAATGTTGGATCATAATCAGATTATTTTGAAATGAAATCCAGAGTATAATTAGGTTTTATGGATTAAAGTTTTGTTTAGCAAATAAAAATCTAAACAATCCGATTATACACGCTATAGTGAGTTAGTCGTTTTTCTTCAAATTTTTAAATGCTAAAGATCTCTGAATGATCTAATTCTGGTTGACATAAAAAGCATAGCTTCAATGATCGTATGCTCGGCAGGTTCACCTATATCTCCTATACTCGTAGTCATTTGTATTTCAGGCTGCTCTAGTCACATTATAGTTATGCAACTCACGCTTCGATGCTGCTCGAACTGAGAGTATTGCTCTGATTGTATTGGTTGGTATGAGGGTCTCGGTCGAATTTTAGACACGTATGTTGGTCGCTGCTGTTGTGATTGCTGTTGTTCAGCGCTACATTGCAGTACATTCATGAGCGAGTCAAGTGCCGCGCGACATACCGGACACTCTTTGCTCAACGATGCTTGTAGCTTTTTATGCAGACAACTAAAGTGAAATCGATGATTGCATGCAGTGGTAAGCACTGCAGAGCTCCCATGCATCGAGGCGAGGCAAATGGAACAGTCGTCGGTTGCTTTGCTGCTGCTGCTCGATGCTTGCATAGCCATTCTTCGGATGAAAGTGTTACGTGCGTTTAAAGTTAACAAAGAGAAAAAGAGAAAAGAAAGCGAGAGGAAAGATATGTGTTATTGCACCATGGTAGTAGTCGATGATTAATGCATTATTTGCTGTTGTCTGTCAGTTTTTCACATTCCGCAGGAAATTAATTGCGCATTTAGGCGAGTAAGAGGTGTGGGTGTGGATGTTGTTTACAGAAAGACAAAGCACGTTCACACCCACACCCTCTTGATATAAATAATATATAATTTCGAATATATAAATGAAGTTTACAATAGACAAGATTTCCATTTTCTGGTGGTGAATTGTAAACGGAATGAATTCTTGGAATAGTATAATAAGTCATAACTGCTCCATTAGCAACTGAAGCAGTAGCAAAGAAAATTGAACATGAATTATAGCGTAATCGTTTTCGAAGAAATACGACACAATTTAGAATATTACCAATAACACCGACAACAAGAAGCACACCCAATCCAACAGTAAAATATTCTTGAATATGAGTAAGAGCATCGATCATAGACATGTTTCATTTTATTTTATTAAGAAGATTGAATGAAACTGTTTTAAGCACTATAAGCCAATACAAGAACCTCACA